GGGACGACGGCAGGGGACCCAATTACCCGCCACCGCGCGCACGCCCCCTTCGGCCACAGCACGCCGCCGCAGGCAATTGTCAGCCGCCGCGAGTCAACACGCCCCCTCGCCCCAGCCTCACGCCACTGCCACCCAACCGCTCGAACCGCGAACGGGTCACTCTCAGAACTCCGCGCGGATCTCACCGAGCACAGAACTCGCAACATTTATTATGATTAAAGTTAATGAGTATCATTTTCATAATTAACTGCTAAATTAGATAATTTCTTAAAATACAATACACAGTATAATTTACTTAATATCAAACATATTTACCAAACACTCACGTACGTACGCGCGCACACACACACGCACACACATACACATTAGATTAATCCGCTCTCAGAACTTCATATATTTTCTTCGCGAACAAAACTTTATAGTAAAGTGTAGTACGCCATGGATCTTCTTTCTCCATTTTCTAAGATAAAATGATGTGATCATCGCAAATGCTTTTTAATCTTATTCATGACAAAAGTTACACAATTCAAATTCAGGCAGGGAACAGGATTCTAGCGAGTTGCAGAAAGTTAACGCCTTCAATTGGTGCAAGGTAAATTACAACTGTGAGGTTTCTGAATGTTGGGAGTCATAGTTTTTGCTTATTATGGAACGAAGAAAACAGTCATTGTTAGGGAACGATTCTAAATTCATATCCTATGAGTAAGTATACCAAATGCTTGCGAACTACTCGGCTATTGTTTTTGCTTTTCTAAACGTTGCGAACGCCCCAGCGAAGAAGAGAAACCCAGGTGCCGGATTTTCTGATTCATTCATGCCCATGCTTTCCTTCTAGTCATTCTAGACGAACGTAGAGCTTGTTAAAAAACGAGCCGCGAAATACGCGCGACCCTTCTTTCGAAACGCGTTCTTAGGTCAGGGTAATTGATACGTCGTGCGTATAACCCTATCGACCACAAAAGGTAGCGGCAATATAGCATTTACTAGTCCATTGCTTCAATTGGAATATAGCGCTGTGAGGGTAAGAAGAAAAATATTTACTGACTATTCAAGACACTGAGTCATGTACTTGATTCTAAAAAAAACAAACCAAGCGTGCTGTGCCGCATAACCAATGGATCTAAGGCGCCATCTGGAAGTACATCGCAGCGGAGTCCCAAACCGGAGAGCTTATTAATTTACTATTTAAGTACATGGAAATATTCTCAAGAAGCGATAGTTTTAATCCACCTAAAGAAGAGACTCAAATATTCAGTATTACATGTCTTCAGAATCCTCCATCCAGAATCCATCATCTCCTCAAAGATAGTAGAAATAAAAAAAATAAAAAAATAAAAAATAAAAACAGCGATCTAAAACAAAAAATATAAGGTCACAAAACAATTAGTTTGTTATGTATAGTAATCAACACATCCTCATAACGCCATTAATAATAAATTTAACTCAGCACTTAAATTCTGTCACCCTGTTTGAAGTAACCCTAATGACGTTTATATGTTGGAAGCTTTATGCTGCAGTGAGTAATGTGTAATCTCTGCAATCACGATGCCAGATTTATATTCTGAGACACCGAAATTAAAAAGGAGGAGGATGAAAAGAAGGAGAAAAATAAGGAGATGGAGGAGGAGGAGGAGGAGGAGGAGGAGGAGGAGAAGAGGAAGAATTAGAAGAAGAGTACCAAAAATTATATAATAATAAAATAATTAAGTAATCATCATAATAATCAAGTAATAATAAAAATAGTACTCAAATTAATACAGTGAAAACCGTAAAATGTATTAATTAACCATGCATTACTCCTAATTACGCTCTGAAGTTTGAATGGAGACAATACTCTGCTCTAAGAAAGAAAAAGAAAAAAAAAATATTTTCAAGGATATCAAGTCTTTTATTAGTTTTTTATTATTTACTTTTCACAAAAATTACATTTACAAACTAGATCGTAAGTATTTTTAAAATTGGATGTTTATATCACAATATACGTTTATGGTGAACAGTCCAGTTCTTGCAGACCTCTTAACGAGAAATATTCTTTACGGCCATCTCTCCTGGTGCGTCGATGAGTGCCCCAGCGCAAACACTCGTCCGTCGCTCCCGCACCCGCCACGCCCCGCTAGACCATCACTTGTTGGCACATGGCTCCTCAGCCAAATAGCACGGCTTGCAATCATCAACATAAGAAACTTTCAGGACTAGAGTCATTTTGAACAGAAAATGGCGTTTCTACGGTTGGGATGTTTTGCTTGTGAATGAAGTTCCACAATAACAATTTTGTAGAAGTTAAAATACGAAATAACTGCTGCAATCCACCTGTTTGAAAGAAACGAACGCTGATTGTTCTACCTTCGTCCCGCAGACTAATTCTTGCCGAGGGGTGGCCCCGAGGTCCTGGTATTTCGATGACCCCGACACCTTTCTCTCACAAGGCGGTCAACGCATGCGCGGTAGCTATAAGACCTCTTCCCTTCTTCCTGCAACGAACCGAGGAAGCTCTGCGGAAGATGTTCTTATTCGGATATCGAGGAATCTGTACAGCAATAACCCTAACTTCATTGTACTACTTACTACATTTCGAACATTGTACGCCTTCAATGGATAATCAAACTAACCTTTTTATAAACTTAAAAACGTGAAAACGTTTTCTCTCTAATTAGGGAGTTCTGAAAGAAATTCTAGAAGGTACTTTTCTGCAAAAAAATATTGCAAATCCTCTCTTTTGAGAATTATTGCCAAAATCATCCATTTTAAACTTAAAGTATTAAGATATAGTAAGAGATACGTTCTTTAGAGATTAAAATTATGCGTTTGGGAACAATTTAATGTTTATAGTAAGTAATATGATATGAAGAAAGTTTATCTTTTCATACTGAAATATTACGGAAGCTATTCAATTTTAAATTTGTATTTTTTTAAGACTATTCTTCGGCGACCTTTTTAGAAATGTATCAGGATTTCGTTGAATAGGACAAAAAAAGTTGTACAAGTAAGCTATTACTTTGTTTAGCAATAACGGAGATATAAATAATCTATATGAAAATGACGAATCACATATGGTCAAAAAACAGCTGTATCTGAAAAGAAACTTACATCACTTGCGAAGCCACAACGTACATCACTTGTGAATCCACAACTTCACAGAACGTCGAGCAAGTGGAACTGGGCATACAAAATTTCAACAAAAACAGAGATGGCGGACGACTAACTGGGGAGATTGCTACTTTGCTTGTAGAAAAGTCATTCATGCGTTAAACTCAAAACATTTGGGCTGCCTTCAAGGATCGAGTTCGCCGATCGATTTTTAACATCGGCTGTTTTCCAAAATCGTTGGCAAGTCAATGTTGATGCATATCCCGTCACGGCTGGCCAACGACCGCGCGTGATCTTCCCATCCCACCCTTTCTTATGATCTCCCACTCCGAGTTCGGACGTCATACGGGACTACGTTCCACACTTTCTCCCACAACACCGGTATACAAATTTGATCTTAAAGAGGACGGATGTATATTTGATGTAGCCGCATCACTATTCCTTGCGTAATACCACTATACATCAATGAAAATTGACAAAAATAAGAAATACTTTTCCTTTAAGTAGGAGTACTAATTCACCATGTTTTGCTAGAACTAAATTTTGTACCTCAATACGACGGTCTGCAAAATCCGGCGCCGACTTAGGTGTCTCAGAACATCAACTGCAATACCTGTAGTACCAGCAATCCCTGCAGTACCTCTGGCTGGAAGGTCTTACGATTTGCGTCCCGACGGTGGCCAGATCGACACAAGCTAGAGAGCTAGGTCAAATTCAGAGAATGTAGGGAAGAGAATTCTAGCATCTGCTGCTCTAATTGATAATTTTTCGTAGTTTCTCCGATCAACACCAAGTGAATGTCGGTGCAGTATCCTAACAAACGAGACACGGTTCGCGCGCAATCTCTCCTTTCTCTTCCTTGACCTATTCTCACCTCTTATCTATGCACACAAGCACTTCACTACCAGTCAGGAGCTGGTGGGAAATACCAGTTTGGGGAACCCCGCAAGCCAACGTGTAGGTCCGCGACGGATCTCACCGTCCAGATGGGTGGGGATGGGGGGAAATCCTACCACCTCTCGTGATAAAACACAATAAACTAACGATAATAATAATACCCACAGCTGTCGCGCACGGAATCACGAAATAATAAATCAAATGAATCAACCAATTGCACGCCAACCGTTAGAAGCCGCATTTTATTCCTCTGGTTGTGTTATGTCGATATCCTAACAAAATTACGAAACAAAGTTTTCAAGCGAACTTTTAAGTAGCGCAGGGGCATGTGTCTGGTGAGCGTGGGCGTGTCCGCAGGAGAGTTGCAGGTGCGCCTCTCGCCGTCGGGGGCGTGCGAGTCGCTGCTGGTGAACCCCGACGCCGCGACCGTCCCCAGCGCTGGCGGCGCGCACGCCTCCGCCTCCGCCGTCACCACCCGCGCCGCCCCCACGGACACGCGCGAGACGTGGACGTCGGGCGCAGACTTCCTGCTCTCCATCATCGGCTTCGCGGTCGACCTGGCCAACGTCTGGCGCTTCCCCTACCTCTGCTACAAGAACGGCGGCGGTAAGTGCCTGGGACGGCGGTCCGCCGATCGCCAGCAGCCATACAGTTCCTTTGGAGACTTTGGTGGTCCGAGGCCGCCTTCGAGGCCGCCGTCGAGGCCACCCCTATTCACTCTTGCATCACCCTTCCTCTCCTCTTTTTCCGCAAATCAATAGTTTGCGCTTCGAAAACCCAACACCAGAAACCTTACACCTCTTGAGCGGCCGGGGTCCCGAAGAAACCTCTAAGACTGCCCTCGAGCGCAGAATGTGCGACATCATCCGGAGAATACGACACTCTCCGGAGAGCGAGTGGAGGCATTTCAACCGGTCAAATATTTTCTGTATACTGCAGAGTATGTTGCGTCTTGACCTTGCACAATTTTATGATCCACAGCTATGAGCCAAGCCTGCTAGCTTTCGATCTAGTTGTACCAGCGTTCTCTTCTTCCTATGTATGTGACATTTATGGTCAATTAAGCGAGTACGCTACAGGATTTCTTTGTTATCCGGGCTTATCTTTCTTTCTTATTCCTCCATTGCTTTACAATGCGGCACTTCACCTAAGTGTGCATTTTATTTACGGCACTTCACCGAAGTATGCATTCCTGGTTAAGCCACATAGGCACAGAAGTGGAATCTTAATAATGTTATCCCCAGAGAATTCGTTGAGTCTTCGGTCACATCAATATGGTGGCTTGGGAGAACGAAACTCTTTCAGCGAAAATCAATTCGATGGTAAGATTATTTTAATGATGCAGTTTTATGAACCGTATATCATTATCTATCCTTACAAGAATGACCTTAAACATTCAACTTCACAACAGTATAATGGAATAACAGTAAAAAATATTGTGATCAATTTTAAAAATATGTTTTAAATCGAAGTCCAGGAAGTGTCATCCGGTCTGGAGGAAAATGCTTCAATTTTCCTCGAAGACTTAGAAATTCCCGGGGAAGGTGGGCAATAGCCTACATTCTTCCTTTATCATATTCAGTAGGCCTGGCTGAACTGAATTAATCGTATAAACACTAAATCCATACAAATTTATTATTGATCAAAAAATATACATGTTTCATTCTTTCTTAAATTAATTAAGACTTATAATCTATTATTGTATGGGTAGAAATTATTTCGTTATAAAAGTCACCTTCAGACGCTCGTGAACAGGATGGAGGAGGTGGAAGCTGAAATTATTTGAAAGATGTGAAACTATTCCGCTGCTCCAAACCTCATTCGTGCAACTCTAAACTCATTATGGCTTTAGAACATGTAAGGCCCGCTACAACTGCCAGGGACGTCCCACAACTCGGTCCGGCACGAGGCGAGACAAGGGGACTCGGACGGTTCCGGTCAACTTTTTTTCCTTTTTTTTCTGCGAATTCGGTTCCCCCGTTAAATCCACCGGTGGAGTGGCGCGCACCGCAGCAGCGAAAATTCATTAACATCGACCGCGCGATTTCAAAGGTTGCTGGGCGATGCCGAGGGGGCGCCCGCCCAAATGCCTGCGCGCCGGCCGGCTGGACGGTGCGGCGCCCGCGAAAGGTCACTCGCGCCCGCCCCAACCACCCCGTTCCGCCCCATCCACCCGCCTTCCGTGCGCCCCCATCGGACCCGCTTCACGTCTTACCCATTCCGTCCGATTCTGTCCCCGTGCGGACCCTTCAGCCTTTCACCACCATTCAGTCCTGCGCCATTTGCATTCTCATACTATCTGTTTCGCTCACGGCCAGCGTTGCCTCTGTCTCAGCAGCGACTCTCACCGGGGATCCTAGTGTTCGGATCCCGACGAAGCGAACACTAAATATATAACTAGGTCGAATTCAGACACTGATTCTAGCGAGAGAATTCTAGCGGCCGACTGCTCTGATGGTTGTTTTCTTTGGTTTCCCCTCACAATATCAGGCGAATGCCAGAGCAATACTCCAATGAACGGGCTATGCACCGCTTACAATATTTCCTTTCCCTATCCTATCTTCCTTCTGATACACACACTTACGTGTACATACACGGGTAAAGGCCGAAGCGTATGGAGAGGCGCAAGGGGACAGAATCGGATGGGCGCGGGATGGGTAAGACGTGAAGCGTGTCCGATGGTGGCGCGTGGGTGGGCGCGGGCGATGAACAGGTGGATGGCGAAACGGTGCGGTTACATAACCCCGAGTGACCAATCAGGAGGTTAGTGATTGTCTTGGCAAGGACAGAGTCCCGTTTCGGGGAGATACCTGGAGAAAATCCCCCGCATGTCGACGTGTATGTCGGCGCCAGATCTCATCGTTCAGCGGGGGGAGACCATCACGACCTCCCGGGCTGAACATTTAGTAAGGACCAGTTTGCATAACAATTGTAGAGCTAGTAAACATCAATGAGTGAAACAATGAATCTGCATTCTGCCTTCGGAGCTGGCCCCAACGCCTTGCGTCCACCGTGACACGCTTATGTTCCATCTTACGCCTTTCCTGTCGTTCGCCCCCTGTTTGGCGTCTCCATAAGTCGCCCGCCACCCCCACGCCGTCCAGCTACGGCCTCGCCCCTCCGCTGGTCCTCACTTGCGTCCGCGCTCTCGCCCTCTCCCCGCCGTTCCGCTCTCCCCCTCCGCCGACGGGGGGGGAGGGGGGAAGGACGCGCTGCGGGGACTACCTGCGTGACTTAACAAAGTTTGGGAGATTACATTGGAACCTCGATAACGCAAATCTGGAAGGGAAAAGGAAAGGTTCGAGGGTAGACATATCGACATATCGAGGTTCTGATCACCGAGAGAAAGAAATATAAAGACGACCCGGACTTAAAACAGTATTGACAATCAGAAGTCTTCTGTCGTACACACCTAACAAATGAAGAGTCGGAGAAGAAAATATAGGTCACTTTGACGTAAAACTGAGAAAACTAATTTAAAGTTTCAACTCGCCTTTACCGGCTCAGAGTCGTATCCATTAAATTATTTTGTTAATGAACAATTTTTGTACAACAGTTATTTCCATATTAAGTGCGTGAATTTTTTTTCATGATAGAGATTGGATTTTTCGTCAATACCGTAGGTCAAGGCAAAAAAATCAATCGATACCATGAAAAAAAAACACTTCTCTCACAAAAATGAACAATATTTTTTACTAGAAATGAATAAAAATTAAATTTGAAAAAAAGATTCAAATTTTATATTAGAATAAGGTGTTTCATATCTTGAGAAATAGCAATGTATTATTCAGAGATGTGAATTCGGAAGCTTTACTAAGTGGTATGTTTGTTTACTGACTTATATTTCCATGCGCGAAATATATTTTTAACGGTAAGAAGACAGTTGTCTCGGCTAAAATCGTCTTTCATTAATATAAAAAAATAACTTATCTCAAGTGAAGTGAATGATCTTTGCTGTCCGGGTGACGCCGCGTCGAAGGCTGTCACAGATTTCAGGCGCTTTTCGGCGTAGCGTTTCTCCCCGTGTCAGAGAATAGCGGCAACGTGGAGGCTACGTAAGAGTGTTGTAATATTTCGCAAATGTTTACTTTTCCTTTACGCTCACGGCAAGTGGTTCTCCCAAAATCCAAAGCCACATCGAAATTGGCTTCTTCTCCTGTCATATTTGCATTCTGCATCTTAATATGTTGTCAAGAACACGAAACATTCGAATATTTAATCATACTGATGGTCAAGCACAAGGTAATTCTAGAAAACACTAGCACTCTCACTTGAGGTGCTGGCGTTACGATTTTACCCATTTTGGCCACTGAAATGTTTGACAATGTAAGTCCTCATGATTGGAAAATATATTCCCAGAACGGTCGTAAGCTACCAACTATTTATTAATTAAACTGCACAAGTGGATGGTAATTATGTGATTTTGGATCAGTTTACTTCAGTGATAGATAAAATGCTGAGATACCCCTTGCTTTGCTAATGGATAATTAAACGCAGCTTTTGTTTCCCCTTTCATAAATGTCAGGTACATACTGGTTTACACAGTAACATAGTTGTTGAATAATAAAGCAATATACGTGAATAATTATTTACATCAATGCCAAAAAATAACTTTTTAGGATGAGTGGTTTACCTATTGCGGAGCCTAACGGAACAGAGTACGAAAACAGCATGTTCGAAAAAAACACTTCTTAGCCAAGATGCTTACAACGTTTTTACACCCAGTTCAGGATATTATATCAGTTTTACATTAATGAAAATTCTCAGATTATTTCAGAAATTATAACCATGTAGACTTATTTACAATTAGTTTTGCTGATTTTGTCACTGGAATAGACTCCGTAACATTTCAAATGTTGAGACCTTGAATTTAAGCTTTATTTAACGTGCTGCTACATCATATCTTTCGGTTGTTACATTGATAAGCAGAATATCGAAGTGAACTTGATAGTATTTAATATAATAAAAAAAATAATATTTACCCTCTAAATATCAAAACTCTAATGAAATAAATCTGATTTTGACACAAATGTAAATGCGTGAAGAGAATTAAAATTTCTGCGAAATTTTTTTCGTATTTCTCTACTAATTTCTTAATATTATTGAGGAATAGTTCTGAAGATTTATTGGATTTCTATTATACGTTTCCGAAGCTTTCGGTTTAGTTCCTTTTTATTATATTTTAAATATTCAGCACACTGTTTTTGTTTTTAACTAACAACATTCTATAGTACTGGCAGAGTAATTAGTTATATTGACAGTCATTATGAAGATAGATTGCAATTTTAAATTAAAAAGAACATGATACATATTTTGTGATACATATTTACATAACTCGTTGGGATGTTACAGCTTCGCTGGAAACCTGTTAAATCTTAATGTATCAAATTGCAATTGAACGAATTAGCAGGAATTTGCGGATTACCGAAACTTTTCCTCTTCTTAATGTTATTACTAAATAATTATCCACATTGTAAAAAGTCCGTGAATAATTTAAAGATCTACATCTGAATAAATGTATGCAGAGAACATTCAAACCACAACAATCAATGTTTGAAAATAGCTGGAAAGATGGGGCGTATCTTAAAATTTCGAACAGGAAGGAT